CATAAATCCAGTGAGAAGTCAGCTCACTTCCACATAAGATTTAATGGTATCGGTCTTTTATTGCAACCAATGGAGCTGCCCCCTGCTGGCCATTAGAAAGAATGCACGTTCAAGACCATGTTCCATGTTGGCTTCACAGACCTGGAAGCTCTGTCCAGTCAATGTTATTACAGGAAATGCATACAGAAGCAAACAGCACTCTGATTTCTGTTTCCTGTGGACTTTGGAGAACAAGGATTAGCAGCAGTTTGTAAATGACCACAGTTGATGGGGCATCTTCTAATATATTGTCTCATAGGTCCAGCGCTTGTGTCTCATGTTTGCAAGAGAGTGCCATGTTTGCATTACTGCCCAGCATTGACAACTCACTGACTACAACAAAGTCAAGTTGGCTAATTTGTAGCGGTGACAGACAACAAAGACCAAACAGCATCAAAAGAATGCAAATTCTACTCCACAGACTATTGTGAGTGTTTTGATGAAAATTGCCGTTACTCTATGAATTATGTTGCTTTCAAGCATGGCCAAGCATGTATGCGAATCCATTCAACTGAGCTCCAATTCTGCAGAAATGATTTCCTTTCCAAAATGTGTGTGTGTGTGGTTTTATTTTTTATTTTTTAACAGACAATGAACAACCAGTCTTTTTCAGTAACACTGTCAGTGAACCAGCCTGTTATTCCTAGAATATTTCCCTTAATTTATATTTAAAAAAAAAAGAGAAGTCAGCATTAAATTACATCATTATATCATAATTCCCCTATGCGTGTGGGGAATATGAGCTATCGTCGAGGCAGAGAGGGGGAGAGAGATCTGAAGTTCTTTTTCAGAGAATACAGTTTCTATCCCACTCCTGCAAGCGAGGCTTAGGGGACCGTACTCTCCGTGGACTCTCTGTGTGCCAGACTTCACTGGGTTTAGCACAAGAAGCACAACTTATTGGATTATGGGGTCCACCATGCTCATATTGCTGGAGGCTGTGTGCGCGTGTGTTTGTGTGTGCGCGGGGGTATATGTGGGTGGGCAGCTTGTGAACCAAGGGAGGGATGGAGTAGTAAATACACGATAAATTCCCATTTACTTTCCTATTTCATATGCAGAATAGCTCACAGAGCCCTGCCTTTTCATGTTCAGAGGTTAGAAGTTTATGCAGGCCCGAGGAGCAGCCTACCGTAAACGAAGCAGGACGGTCGAGGCTGTTCTTGTTTCACGTGGATTTCACTGCACCTGTCTAATTTCAGTCCTCAGGAAGGGTTTTGTCTGCACGGACAGGATAAGGTTTTGGCACACGTTATTGGTTAGATGGACTCTATAATTGTCCACATATGGAAGGATTCACAGTGGAAGTGATTTACTGGAACAAAAACACTCTCTATATGTGTCCTTGGTGACTACTCGATGTAGTAACCCTGCTCAACCTTCACAGATTTCACGTGTCTCTCTCTTTTCTATTTTTCCCCCATCTGCTTTTTAAAATCATAATAATGCACTAGTATCTGCACTAGTTTTAATTATCATTAATAGTAGAGGGAATGAAAGCATAGTAGGCAACAAATGGGATTTTGTCCTGCTGTGTCCAGTGTCATTCAAGCATGCTTTGATGGTAGATGTGCCCTTTCCTTAGTGGGTTACTTACTGAGATAAAGAATCACAGAGGCTGGGAAGAATCGTTGCATTTGACTCTTTATTATTTATTCTGCAGCATGACACATGGAAACCATGCAGGGCAGGAGCAGCTGAATATGTGCTCCTGTTTGGAGAGAGGAAGTAATAATGCTGGTTTCACAGCGTAACAAGACAACAGATAAAATTGGACCCGGTGTAGTTATTATTGCATGGTGTAACTAACTCCATCCAGGCTGCAGACTCATGTATGTTTATGACAGGCAGGACATCTGTGAATAACGACTGATTGTTGTAAAGGAGACAAAAAAATCAATTTCACTGTCAGAGTGGACGTTTAATTGCAGAGATTCAAGGGGGTCATGAATGTAGCATGCGGGCCAGAGTGTGCTGGCTGTATTCCTCTCACGTAGCTCTTTGAGGGGCTGAGTGACTGCCTCCCTCTGCCAGAAGCGCCATCCTTGTCCCAGTGGCGTTCCACCTTAAAAAGACGAATATATGTGCCCAACTGGCTCCCTGACATTGACACACCGTGACTCACGCTGCCGTGCTATTTCAGTATGGCTGCTGGCAAGCCCAGCCGTTCTGTAGCCTCTCCCCTCCCTGCTTTGGTCATTTGTTTGCCTCCCCCGCTAGGCTGTTTACTTGTAATTTGGACATCTGTCAAGGTGGTTTGTTTGCTACCCCGTGGTGTGATTAGGCTACCTTTGCCAAATCTGGGAAGATGGATGGGGTAATAGCAAGGCTTGGCTGTAAAGATAAAGCCAGAGTTTGGCTACTTCTCATCTACCAAGTTTAGTGGGATAATTAAGAAATCATTGGGTGACAAAAAGGGCACCGTGTCACAAACGTGTTCACGTGCTTCACTCTCTCTCTCTCTCTCTTACAGTCTTCATGGTGGTCTTGTGCAGTGTCCCAATCCTGTCTGCGTGGTCCCGCCTTGTCCTGTCGCACAGTCTGTTCAGCTCCGGTGCCAGGACCTGCTCTTAACCACCTGCTGTTAAAGCAGCCTCACACACACTCTGATATTTGCAGGATCACTCGTGAACACAGTCATACACAGATCTATAGATGTGGCGCCACTCGGGGCTGATTTCAGATTTGCTTTCTGATCATGTTTCATCCAGAGCGTTCCTAATTTGTTCATCTCCTTAATGAACATTATTGGCAGGGTTGCATTAACCCGGCACTTTAAGTTTCCTAATGGCTAACGTCATGCTGCACGCTCACATCCCATACTGTAGCCTCTCACACAATCAATACGGAATAATTTCACCGCCCCGTCCGACTTCATCCAAAACGTCTTTCTTTTCGGTTTTTTTTGGATCATCAGCCACAGAGAGATTGGGTACATTAAAACAGATGATATAAACCTCAGGGGCCACTCGTCTGGAGCTGTTCAACTAAATCATAACTCCACTTTTGGTAAATCATTCACAGCTGATAAGAAGTTGTGACACTGTGGGCTGGTCCGAACAGCTCAAAGTAGCTGCGGTCTCTGTGATTAATCATTGAATAAAGGCTTATTTACAGGCTGAACGCAGCCGCGGTTGCAGGCAGAGGCAGATCTAAAAAAAATGCCCTGTCACCTCAGTTTAGTGTCAAACGCTGTCAGATGTAACACATTCATTTAGATTCATGTTTTAAGTAGTGTGTTAAAATTGGAAATGAACACACATAATGGAATAATCTGTTGTAGCCCCTTTAGACTAAGTGATAAAATTAAGTTGAATGAAAAAAGACTTGAGATATTTCTATTCAATGCTTTGCTAATGTGCCCCAATAATGTAATGTTTGGGGTTTTTTTAATATATTTTTTCAGGCTTGTATTGCCTAATGGATAGTGAGAGCTTAGGGGGCGAGAGAGGGTGGAGAGCCAAGGGCGGACTTGAACCGATGGCTGCCGCAGAGAGGCAGTGTGTGGATTATACCGCGGCTTTCTGATATTTTCTGATCTGAAGTGAATGATATTGGGCTGTCACACTTTAGTGGTGATGGCAAGAACAGTAGCATCTTTTCTAAAGTGAATTAGTGATGAGCCATCCTCATGCACAATCCATGATAAAGATTCAGAAAAATTAAAATACATGGCAAAAATAGCCCATTTCAGTCCCTTCACGAAGTTGTGATCGCAGCACTTAATGCAAATTCAAACAATCGCTGTGAATTCAGCGTGACCTTGAACAGTTTTTTTCTTTAAGTTATTATTTTTTAGGCCTTTATGAAGATTGACAGGAAAGGGGGGCAGAGAGAGAAGGGATGACACGCAGCAACGGGCCGCAGGCTCAACTCGAACCCAGGCATGCTGCCAGCAATCCCGTATATGGGTCGCCAGCTCTACCGACTGAGCTAACCGGGCGCTCTCATTGGAGCAGTTTTATTGCAAACACAAAGCCTAAAAACATCACAACATGCATTTCAATTTTCTGGAAAGGCTGCCGTGAAATCAGACATTTCAGGCAGAAAAAAAACCCAGCAACAACCTGGAGGGCTGGATAGTGTCTACATTTTACAGACCCCCCAAAATTTCTCAAATCGTGTTTTCAGGGGAGCTCATGTCTTATTAAGACGAGCCCAGCTCCCCTGTAGTTCCCACCCTGCAGCAAGGACTCGGTACATGGGGAGCCAGCTCTACCAGGTGAGCTACCAGAGCACTCCTTATGTTTCTACTGATACGTGTGATTGTTTGTGATTAAATCAGCATATACTTCTGCCACCCTCCCTCTCCAGACCCGCCCTGGTTGCAGCAGTTTCACTGCAGCTTGTAGCTCTGTCTCTTTCATGGCCTGAGGTGCAAATGAACTGTCTATAAACAACAACGAGTGTGTTTTCATGGGTGTGTCTGGAGGGTGTGTCGGGGAAGGGTTGGGGGGAATATACAATACACAACCTGTTGACCCATTCAAACTTAAAGACGTCACATTGCTGTTCAATTAAACCCTAAAGAACATGCAAGAACTTTTAAATCATTGGGAGAAATGCCCTACTACAAGCATTAATGCATCAACTTTAGTTTATTTTGATTCACAATTTAACACATGAAGTTATGATGTAATGACAGATGATAGATATGTTGACCAGGATTAAAAGCAGCGCAGCAACATAGTTGTTGAACTACTCAGCTCATTAATCTCTGTCACCATCAGCCTGTAATAAGAAAGCAAACAGCACCACTAACAAAAAAACAAAAATTTCACTGAATTCTGAATCCTATTTTTATTATTATGTCATGTTATGAACATAGTCCCAATCAACAAAAGAGTTTCCTAAAATAAAACCCATTTGAGGGAGGGTTGCACTGTTCCCAGCTCTAGGAGTGGCCAGCCGATGCACTATGGACAGAGGGTGTGGCTATAGTTACTGCTGCTGAGTTTCACCTGGGAACAAAATAAGCAGTTCTCAACAGTCCTGAAACTCCAGCCAGCCTCGCAGGACGTACTTTAACTTTGGATCATCTCTTCACTTTAAGGTATGTCAGAGCTGTTCTTTCTCCATTTGATTTTGTTGGTAGTGCTAGTTTTAGAGCTCACTTACTCTAAAATAAGAGCAGTAAGGCAGCATGTTAGATTGAAGGTAAACAGCTGTATTAGGGAGGAGGACGACAGCCATACAGTACAGATATTTTCACCTCTGAGAAATTAAATTACAGGCAATATAAAAGGGTTCTCAGGCAGTAGACAGTCCATTCTGTGAATCATTTCTTCCTTTCATGTTGTTCTCAGGGTTATAATGGAGCCTGTGTTCACAAGCATGGGGCTAAAGGTTGCTGTGCTGTTTCTGTTAACAATTCAGCTGAAGACAGGTGAGTTTTTTTTCTTTATCTCAGCAGTGTGCAATAGGTTTCACATTCGTACAGCCAAAGCAAATACACACATTTGATATGCCTGTAAAAGCCCTTCTTTACCCCGCTGGCTGCCCTGTTTACAGGAAGGCTTAAATATTCTAATCATAGAGAGTAGAGAATTTGAGATCACTAACAGAACAGGTGTTTTTTGTTTCTGGGTTGTACCATCTGTGATTCATGCTATAGACGGGCCAGTGTGACATGCTCTTAGCTGACAGTAATACCACTGGGTGAATCGCATTGCAGACAATCAGTGAACCATGTATATAATGTGGGTGGCTGACAGATACCCTGCATAACATTCATAGCTCTTTTCAGACATACTCCTGTTGCTAAACTGGTGTGTGCATTTTTTTAAAAGATCTTGAGAGCAGGGGCGGATCTAGAGGAAGAGGGTGGCATGAACAAATTTAAATACATTTCTAAATAAAAAAATAAGTTTTAGTGAAACTTTTCACTACATCCTGACAGTAGTAGTAGTAGTGAGATAGATAATCTTGTTGTAGTGCCCCTAATTGGATTTGCAAGAGTCCACCGGGCCTGAACGAAAACAACCAATCAGAGCTGAGAAAGAATGAGTCTCATTCCCAAAAAATCATCAAATACAAACACTTTGGGACCCTTTTGAGACGCCGCAATCAACTATCTTCAAGCCTCCAACCCAAAGCGTCTGTATATGTTTCTCAGCTCTGATTGGTTGTTTTCGTTTGGGCCCAGTGGATTCTTGCAAATGCCATTAGGATCACTAGAACGAGGCAGAGGACAGATTATCTGTTTCGTGTACTACTGTCAGGACACAGTGAACGTTTCAGGAAATATGAGAAGAAGTTATATTTATAAAAGTTACCTACTGCATCTTTAAGGGGTGGCAGAACTATATACTTATTAAATCACGAACAACCGCGTATATATAGATTTGCTGGGAAAAGCCCCAAAATTAACAGATTTGAACATTATTGTGGTACTTTAGTAAAGCGTTGAATAGGAATCAGTCAGTGAATTGTTTTATTTCCAAATCTTTCCAAACACATCTTTTTTAATTGAACTGAATCACTTAGGCTAAAATACGTGTTTTTGAAACTTTATTAGTATAAGTAAAAACGAATGCATGCAGCAGAGTAAACAGTGCACATACCAAACTCATGCAACTCTTAAGCTTAAGCTTAATCTTCACGTTCTCATTAGGTCTGTAGTTTATAGCGCTGATTGATTCTTTAAGTTCCAGTATCAGAGCAGCAGACTGAGAGCAAAGTGTTATCTAAGCCTGCATTGTCTGGGCCAATGAGGAGGTGCACAGGATTTGAATAGCTGCAGCTTTTGTGTGTAACTGCACTCACTAGCACGTTAGCTTAGCCGCTTCTCCACATGGAAAACACGTCCTGCTTCCATCCCAGCATTTCGCCTGAGGGGGGCTTGAGCAGTGCAAACGTTAGAGTGACTAATTTGAGCTTTTCTCAGTCTCCCTTCATCACATCTGCCATTTACACGCTTTCATAAATACCTCTGAAATACTTTGTTTTGTTGCATCCAGAGCGCTCAGAGCAGATTTAACCATGAGCGGTGTCAGAAGAGAGGCTGATTTGATTTATCAGCATGGTCCATTAAGATATTTGGCGAAGGTTAAACATCTAAATGTGGAAACGGTGAAGAGACGTTTGCTCCAGATGTCGGAGAAGTCTAACGACAACACCACAGAGATAAATAATTTGGATCTGTTGAAAAGCGTAATAATAATCAAGACTGCGTTCTTTCTATAAACGTCAAAGCTATCAGCAATAATTAAAATCCACGGCCATAAACAGTGAGTCAGCAGGGTGTGTGTCAACTCAGAGACAGCTTTTAACTGCCACTTGTCAAGTACATTTTTCATGTTTGCTCATCTATTCACATTTCATTTACCAATATATTTTTGACAGCTAATGAGCCTCAAGAGTTTTAAATTAATACGTAACTCATTTTCGCAAAGATACCACTTTTATTCCAGCTCCAAAGCCTCGAATCCTCCTCAGTTTGACTTAAGAGGCCAATTAGTCTCAGATCAGCACCTACTCCACTCTGAGACTGTTTATGAGCTCAGGCCCAGAGCTTGAATGCCATTAAGTGGTGAAAATATTAATGCGTTAGAGAGAGAAATTTGTTTTTTCCTGTATTTTTCTTTCTGTTTGTCTTTTGGCCTGGGTAGATGATTATGAAAATAGGATGTAGGAAGAGGTTATGAGTTAGACTAATCTGCATTTTTCTAAACAATCAGATGTGACAGAGGCGATGGAAGTGACAACCTCGGGGCCGCAGACCATTCAGCAGGCCCAGGGGGACACAGTCAACCTGAGATGCACCTACTCCCCCGGGCCCGAAGACACAGGAGAGCTGGACATCGAGTGGTCCAACGTCAGCCCAGACATGACACAGAAAGACAGACTGGTACGTCATTTTTAGCCAACATTACTCATAATAAGGGAACAAAACTATAAGAGTTGATTTTAGTGAAAGAAGTCAGCACGGTAGCATCAGCAAACTACCTAAATCACATTCATTCAACTTAGTTTCACTCCATATTCTGGCCTTGGTCATTCAATAGAAGTGTCTCTCTGAGGAACCTGTCCTTCAGCAAAGAGTGAGGGGGAGGCGGGGGGGTTGTCTCTTAGCTTTGGGCTCTTAGTGGAAAAACCAGCTTTGAAGAAGTGTCATCACTCAACGCTATCTTTGCAGATCTTATCATTCACAGGGGGACAGACGCACCAGTACGGCGACCCCAGCATCTCCCAAAGGCTCAAGTTCACAGGGGACCCCAAGCTGGGAGACGCTTCCATCGCGTTCTCTGATGTGAAGGTCTCAGACACATCCACCTACCAGTGTAAAGTCAAGAAGGCGCCGGGTGTTGACACACGAAAAGTCACTCTGGTTGTGATGGGTGAGGAGGAATTCCTTTTTACCGGTTTCACCTGTTCATTTTTCTATGACGTCTCGTCCTGCTTTTATGTTGCACTCACTCACCTGGAATGTAGAGGTTCCTGTCTCAGTCACACCTATACTCTATACCTCTTTTTTCACGCCTTTCAACCCTCGCATGATAAACTAACGTGCTCAAGCATGACTCTAAAAACTGTTTATCGTGTTTATTCATCTCCTTTCACTAGTTCCCCCGTCTGTGCCAAAGTGTTGGGTTGAAGGCGGCGAGGAGAAAGGCGGACCCGTCTCCCTCCGCTGTAAGTCCTCTCGGGGATCCAACCCTATCAGTTACACGTGGGCGAGAGAGAGTGGAGGTACAATGCCATCCACTGCAACCCAAGGTAAGGATGACAGACAGAAAAGGCTTGTCCACGATGCTGTGTTTGTCTAATATGTTATGTACTGAACGTTGTCTTCTTCCATTAAGACCTACAGACTGGGGAGCTTTTGATAAAGAACCATACAGACAGCAACGTTGGAAGTTATGTGTGTGAGGCGAAAAACCCCGTCGGCAAGGCACAGTGTAAATATGCACTGCATGCATACAACCGTAAGTCTATGATATTATCATCTAATTTCACTCTTAAGTAGGTTAACACTCTCACATCCTAAAGGAACCTTTTTATTTCTCTACTCCATGGTTTAAATATTTGCTCTAGTCTGAAATTCCAGTCGTAACGTCACATGTAAGCCGCTAAAAGCTGGAATTCATGACTGCAGGGAGGAAAGAGCTGCTTGGTCTTAAAGAGGCCATATTGTGTATTTTGTGGGGATTTTCCCTGTGCTTTAGTGTGTTATATAGTAAAGCGTCTTCAGCTCCTGCACTACCTGACACACCTTGTTTGTCTTCAGCCTTTTCTTCTACAGCTATAGACTGTATAATTAAAAAGGGTCGTAGTCTCTGTGACGTCCCCTGTAGGTCAGTGTGGTCGGCTCCGACTCCGCCGGCTCGCGGCTAACCCACACATGGTCAGAGAGGTGGAGCGTCTGTGGAGCTGAATAAAGCCCGGTTACAGAAAACTAACACCCACACTCTTAGATGTCGCTGTGTATTTAGAAGCACAGTACAGTAAAATATTTCTTCACTACAGTAAAATACCTGAGTTTATATTGCATTGCATCATTTTTACAAGCAGGAATATTTTACAGAATATATTTTATTATTCTTATATTACAATATTAGTAACCTAAGATTATATATTAAATAATTCAGAATAGTAATAATAATTGTTAGTAATTATCATAATTGGCAGTAATATGTCAATGTTAATTTAACTGTAGAAATGACAAAATGCAGTAAAAGTACAGTAAAATATTCTTTTGTAGTAATACAGTATTGTTTTATATGCTGTAAACTGCATGACAGTACAATTAAAGTTGTTTTTTTGTAAATCAAAACACAGCAACCTGCTGCCATTCACCTACTGTAAATCTGTAAATATGCAAGGAAATTCTTTACAATCAGTCAAAGCAGCCACACCCTAAATTAAACACAACTTTAAGCCTTTATACAATTAAACTGATTAAACTGGTGAGTTATATAAGAATCCCCCCCCCCGTACAGTTACAGCAGAAATTACCTCTAGACACCAAAACAGTTTTTATACCAGGCTGTAAACATGTTTTTCTGCTGTAAAGTTAGGCATTTTAATATGGGGCCTTATGGAGACTCACTGCCTCTAGTGGCCGTTAGAGGAACTGCAGTTTGTGTAACTTCCATGTTGGCTTCACTTGCTTCCACAGAGGTTGCAGCTGCGTTACAATCTTCCATCCCATTATTGGCAGATTCAGCCAGTAGTATTTTCACATTGTCACTTAATTCTGCTGCTTGACTTCAGGCAGCAATGATCATTATGAAATGAACATTAGCCACAGAAGAGGAGCAGATTTTGCAATCAGTACTGGCCCACAGACGGGTGAGATAATGTCATAATTGTGCATTTAGAGTGAAGTATTTCTTGGTCCTTACTCCATCCACTCATGGAAATTGGACAATTATGTCTTCGCCATCCTAGGAGAAAAAAAGAAATAAACCCTGCTCTACACTGGCTCACGTTTATGTAAAGCTGACCAATCAGAGCAGACATGGCTCTTCTTTAGGGGTGGGCCTTCAGGGGCCAGTGCTGCAGCCATCTTGCAGCCAGTATGAGAACAATAATGTTGTTTGACCATTAAAGGATGTAAATGTTTTAATGCAGACGCCCACAAATACAAGTATAACCTGAAAATGATCTTAATATGATCTCTTTAAAGCTCCATGTCCTCTCTTCCAGCTACCAACAAGGTGGGTGTCATAGTCGGGGCGGTGATTGGCGCCCTCCTGCTGCTGCTCCTCCTCCTGCTTCTCATCTGGCTCCTGATCTGCTGCTGCCACAAGCGCCGCTACGAGAAAGAGGTTGAAAATGAAATAAGGTACCGTATCTGAGCTGGAAACAATTTCAAAAACAGGCTGTAAAATGATATAAAACCCACAGATGATGTGACTCCTGTTGTTTCCTCAGGGAGGACGTTCAGGCCCCGGAGAGCAAACCCAACAGCAGGAACTCCAGTTTCCGCTCAGTGATGGGGTACCGCACACACCCCGGCGTGCAATACAGCTCCGTGAGGAACAACCAGCCCGTTCGCAGTGAATCAGGCCGCAGCAGCGTCTTCATCGGCGGGACTAACGGCACATCGCTGCCCAGTAGCAGCCCTGCTCCCCTCAAATACGACCATCGATACGGATACCCCGTCTAACTGCAGCTGCCTGATAGTTTTTAGTATAAAATGAAGCCTTCGAAAGAAAATACTGTTTTTAAAGAAAAGCCTATGTAAAGTATGTACATGAGAAATGGTGCAATACAATATATTTAACTGGAGGATACTGGGAGAGCTGGTATACCACTACTGGGAACTCTTGGACAACTCTTGAACTTTTATAATGCACTAGGAATAAGGCTCTCACAATCCAACTCATTATTACACTGATTTAGCTAAAACTGTATGTGAAATGTGTATATATATATATATATATATTAAAGATGTATTTTTATTGGTGCTTTTTTTCCCCTATGATGTATATGTAGCTCAATCAATGTATTACTTTTTAAAGTACAATAAAACATTTTTTTAACTGGTAAGTCAGTGAGGAGATTTGAATCAAATTTTTGTGCCTCGGCTGCATCTTTTATTGTTTGATGATATCTGTGCTGACGAAACACAGTAGAATAACATTTGAAACATCCCTCGCACTCACTGTTTAACTGTTATCTCTCTGAAAAAAGATAAAACTTAATTGAATAAGTTGTACTTTGGCATCGTAATGGAATCAGTCGTATTGTTTTGACATGCAGAATTAGGTACGATTATATAAAAACAGTCCAATTATGTAAACGGTCAGAGGTTCAAACACAACTTTATTACGTGTAGGAGTTTAGAGAGTGCGTTCAGACTGAAGACAGTACAAAAAGTGGGTGTTGAAATTCTGATTTGGTGCATAAACATGGTCAGAAATACAATCTGTCATTTCATAGCCGGCTGATTAGATTCAGGGCTGTAACTGGATCAATATGAATTCAAACTTCGAGTCAGACAAGTGGGAGACAGTGAAGTCAATTTTGCCTCCTGGAAAATTTTTCATTTGCAGAACAAAGCGCTGCAAAATTGCCTTGTTTGTGTTTGTGTGTTTCTCCGATTTTTGCCAAGCAGCCAGCGAACTAGTAATTAATGTAACAGCTAGTAGAGGCTCTAACCTGCAGCTGCCACACTCAGAATCCAGACTCAGCACTGCGCCCACGGCCTCACCTCTCGCTTATATTGGCCTGATCCCATCTTCAAAAGGTGTGTGTTGAATTAATAAGAGCTGCAAGAAGTAGTAAGTGTTGGTGGGCCCTTGGTAATACGCTCCGCCGAGGGCCCCCTTAAAGGTCCAGTGTGTAACATTTAGGAGGATGTATTTGTAGAAATGGAATATAATATTCATAGGTGTGTTTTGTTTTTTTTTTGCCGTTTTTATTTAGACTCTAAGAAACAAATTTTCTGGCTCCACAACTTGCATTAATCTTTTGGAGTTATGGCAACTGCTAATTAAATTATGTTCAACAAATGTGCTATAAGCTTTTCTTCTAGTTTATAAGTGGATTAGTTGACTTTTTGCACATTCAACTAATCAGAATAATTTTTGCAACTTAAAAGTTTTATCTAAATCAATAAATTACACATTTATTTAAGTGGTGACAATAGGTCAGCTGAATTACTTTTTAGAGTGCAGTGGGAACAGGTCTCTTCTAGTTCTTGAACCTCCATGTTTCTACAATAGCCCAGAATGAACGACACACACTGTAGTTTCTGTTACTTTGAAGGCGAGCAGTCCAGGAGCAGTGTGTAGGATTTAGTGGCATTTAGTGGCATATTTGCAGACTGGAACTCCCACGCTTCAACCTCTCCTTCCATGGAGTGAAATGCAGACTAGAAGAGACTAGAGCCAGTGTTTGGTTTGTTTGTTCTGGGATACTGTAGAAAAATGTTGGTTAAACATGGCGGACCCCGCCAGAAGACGATGCGCCCCCCTTAGATAAAAACGTTTCATACTAAGGTAACAAAAACACAACTATTCTTAGGTGATTATACGCCAATGAAAACATATCTACAGGCTTGGTTAACGGATTACAGACAGGGAGCGGGTCTTCTTCTTTTTCTTTTCTTTTGTTCACGTAGTTTCTCCCACGTGCTTGGAACGGAATGATGGAATTGAAATCTGCAACCACACTGGTTCTTTAAAAATAAAGAAATGCTATACTACCGTGGAAATGAGTTCTCATGAGTCTCACTACTCCAATCTGGCCTGGAGTGAAACCATAGCTAAACTTACAGTTTATCAAATACACCATCACTGTAATGTGATAAGTTATTTTAATTTAGAAAAAATGTTAAAACAGATCAGAACTTAACAACAAAACTCAATTTTGTAAGTTAAAAACATTCTTAAGTAATTTTTACTTGTTTTTTTTTTCACAATACAAATAAACATTTCAAAATCAAGTAAAATGACTAAAGCTACTTGATTGAGAATGATTTTTTAACTTACAAAATGTAAAGTTAAAGTAACTTAACTGAACAACTTTAGGAAAAAATAAAAAGCAGATGCTAAAAATATCGGTTTCCATTTTCTTTCTTTTCTTTCCAAGGTTACATTATTCTGTTGTCTTATAGGATACGTAAAAGTCATCTTATTGAGTTTCCTTCCTTGTCTTTATTTGCATATTTTGTATTATGTTACAGTACATTTTTAACAGGTAATTATTAACTGTATTAGATTACATTTCCAAAGTAACCCTCCCAACCCTGCACACCCGATGTTGTTTTATTCCATAGCTCTTCCTAAATCTCTCACACTGGACCTTTAAAGGCTCTGATCCACAAATCCATTTGTTTAGAAACTGTGTTACTATTTCAAATCATCAGAAATAAAACGCATCAAAATGAGACTTTCAATTTTAGACACGCTTCCCTTTAATCAGCAGCACTTTGGTTTGCATTTGCCCGCCGCAGCACACGCATGCACACACTCTCTTGCTCACATGTTTTGTCAGTAGTTTTCTGCGTGCCTCTGCAGTGTTCCTCTCTTGTTTGCTCCAAATGAAGACAAATTGAAAACTGTCAACGTTTGTGTATCTCTCTGTTTGCTCAATTCAAATTTGTACACATCCATCAGGAGGACCAGTTCTTTGTGTACGAAAGCCTTTTCATGTACGCACAGGCGTCCGTCCTTTGATTCATGCTTGAACTGAGGAAATAGATACAATAATTAATTACAAATAATTTTCTGGCAACCTCACCCAGAAACCACATAATCTCCTCTTTTAATAATAACTTTTCTTAGAGGGCAGAACTTCTAACAGGGTTAGTAATTATTTTTAAAAAGCAAAGCCTCCCACTGCAGAGTGCTCTGTCACATTTAGATTCAAAGAGCTTCTGCATGAAAAAGAGCTTTTTTTTAATGCTATTGTGCAAAAAGGCAGAATCTGCCCTTGAAATGTGGCTTTGGATTGTTTGTTTTAAATAAATAAAATAAACTAAGGTAAGGTGCTGTTCATGAAGAAACAACATGGGTAAGGACCTTGGCAAGCCATATTAATTGCTCATTTAATTAGGATCCTGTTTGCCAGTAAAAAAAAAAAGCAAGCAAACAGAAAATCAAAATAAAATATAAAGTAAAATATAATTCAAGTCAACATCTTGTTAAAAGTCTGTCTGAGAAGTTAGTGTCCTCCAGTGATAAGGTGTTGCATTAGCAAGACTCCTGAAGGTGATTCTAAGGTGATTTGCTTTTCTTATCAGGTAAATTGGAGCGTGTGTGTGTGTGTGTGTGTGTGTGTGTGTGGTTTTGTAAATATGTGGCCGGGCTGCAGGAATAACCATTTGCATGCAGTGTCCGGTGGTGTGTGGTCTGCGGATTGGCTGAGCTGTCACGCCGCACTGATCGACATACAGTAAAGTCACCGGATATACATAATGAGCACATATTGTGCACTCCCAGTGTCAATGCAAATACGCCGTCACCACTACCTGTGGTCATACCAGATGCAAATCACACCTAATGCTCATATATAAATCCCAGTCAAGGAACGCTTAAATCCAAGGACTTCACCTTGCTGTGTGCATCGTGCGGACAACTCCAGGCGAGGATTAATGCTTGGATGAACAAAACAAAACAAAAGGATTCTTCAGCTGCAGCCAAAGGTATTGAGTCAGACAAAGTAGTGTGACAACTAGCAGGCAAAGAATGTAAGCAGAGACCTTGAGTAGGATTCAGAGTGATAAAAAAGCCTCGTTCAACCCATGGGAGCTCCGTTTGAGGAAAGAATGGAAGATTACTCTAATTGCTCCTTACCTACACTCCTACACTTCACCTCATGTTGCATATGACCAACTAAACTGTAGATTTCACACATGTTTTTAACTTTAATAGCAGAGTTTAAATGAGCCTTTTTATGTATTGCAAAAGCTAAATGTGTGAATCTTTTCCCCAGGCCCCGCTGACAAACTGTGACTGATTCCATTCTGTGGCAGAAATGAAGAATCGTCTGGTTTGCTGTGTGTGTGCATAATTTTTTGCCTTCTTGTCATCTCTTTGAACGCAGCAAAAACAAAACACTTGAAAGTCCCACACACAGACTGCTGAGTGCTATAGAAGTTATTCTCCTGAAGGTTTACACTGCACGCTGTTTGGGGTAAAGAGTATCATTATGTTAGGGGCAAGTAAATTGGTCCTCTGGGTAATGACGGGTCTGCTGGCCATCTCGACTGTCTTCTTTAATGTCTACATCCTCCTGATGAGTCTGTGGAACTACAGGCAGAAAAAGCAGTGGAATCCCAGTGAGACCATCATCGTGGCGCTGTCGGTGGCCGACGTGGCTCACATGCTGGTCTGCTACTTCTGGATGACCATGACCGAGGTGGATAATGAGTGCCACATCAGCCAGAACGTCTACACTATCATGCTGCTGCTGTTCTTCAGCCTCAAGTTCACCATCATGTGGGACACCAGCTTTCTCACGTTTTACTACAGCACCAAGCTGGTGAGCACGCCCAACCACTGTTACACGCAGATCCAGGCCGCCATCCTCAAGCACGTGACTTTAGCTGTTTTTCTCATCCCTCTGTGCGGCCTGGGCACCTGCATGCCGATGCTCGTGGTGTTCCACCATGACAACTACACCAGAGCGTACCAAGACTGTGGGGTTTTAGTCCCCAACACCCGCCCTGGCAAGATCTACGAGGCCATGTATCTGCTCCTCGCCGACGTCCTGCCAGGCGTGCTCATGGTGAAATGCTGCATCTCCATCTCCATCCACCTGGCCATCCATCTCCGTCACATGAAAGCCAGCACCAACGGAGCCCACTGCCCGAAGCTGGGCTCTCAGCTGAGGGTGATCCAGATGACGCTGTCTATAGTGGCTGCCTTCATCCTCTTCCTCGTGGTCGACCTGTACGTCCAGTACCAGATAACGGTGAACCACGAGAACATCATCATGCTCACGTTCTTCTTCACGTCCATCTACACGACTGTCACTGCCATGATGCTGATCTACGGGAAGAAGACGCTGTGGAAAGCTCTGATTCATGGCTTCAACGTCTGCCTGGATGAATATCCGTGTTTGTCTTGTCTGAAGGTGCCTGAACAAAAGGCAAAAACCAGCTCTCCTGCAAAAGGTAAAAACTGAGAAGCCAATTTGTTTCGCACTGAAGGTCTTTGTGCTGAAATCAATTGGTCATTGTCTGAACTTATTAAAAACTTTGAAGAAACTTATTCTTTTATCTTTTGCACTAGCAATTTCAGTAATGACTCAACTGTCCCGCTGTATCACCATTAATTATAATTCCTTACATCAATAAGGTATTTTCACTGTGTTAGCCTGTTAGAGCGGGGAGGGTAGAGCTGGTCAAGCGACGCAGCCAGGAAACCAGCTTTCCATCCAAATCACAAGCTCATCAGACTGCACCTGTGAATGAATATTTCAGGAGGACAAATAATAGCCAGGACTGTAAAATAGATCCTCAAGCATGGTTGCCTGTAACTCCTAACCCATCTAAAAATGCTGAAAAATACATGTGACTGTGGTGAGAGTACAGAGCATATTAATAAAACAAGAAAGTACGAACGACCTGGATTCTTTTTTCTTTCATCACAGAGGTTTTAAGAGGTTTTTTTTGTTTTTACTCAGTCAGGTTGCAGATGGTTTAAGCTGCACACAGGGACAACTGTGTAACTGGAGTGCTGCCAGTGCAAACTCCTGCGCCGGTTAGGAAAGAGAGAAAAAAAAAGTGATGGAGGAATCTTCTCTTGTGTTCATTGGTCCTCGACAGAAGTGCCTCTCCTCGACAGCTACCAGGTGTGAGTGCACAGTGTGTGTGTGGGTGTGTGAAGCTGGGCGTTCCTGAAAAGTGCACTCATGCCCGGCAAACCCACCCTGAGTAAACAGAGGTTTTAAAAAGAAGTCAGCAGACCTCTTTGCAATGCTCCATTAGTTCACACCCTCTGGCACCACCTAGTGAGGTTCAAAGCAGAGATACAACAGTGTGGCTAATCCCACCCTGCACACAGGCCCAGCATCCCTCCAGCAGCTAAATGGACAAAGTAAAGAAAGGGCATATCTTCCTTTGATGGAGGGGAGTTAAGTCGTATCAAGGCCTTGGCTTTCATCCCTCCTGTCCTTCTCTCTCAGTCGGAGGGAGTTGGGTTTGGAATGACGGGGCCAAAAACAGCTCAGTGTCCTAAAATACAGCCAATATGGATGCAAATATTTAAACTTCTTTGTTTGAAATGACATAAAGAATTTAGATCCTTTACTTAAAGACCTCCAGGCACATATTGAGACATTTACAAAAAGCCTGCTTGGAACAATAATGTGTGTCTGAGATGAAAAAAAAAGAATAATTTCCACATTAAAATCTTTAAAAAGTCATCTACTCCGTCTACCTCATCAAAAATTTAAAGAATCTATGAATATGTAAATTCTGCTCATTTCTAAAGTTTTAAATGTCTCCTCTTTCACTGTAAAGTCCATCCTCAGTGTCTGTGCACTGCTGGTTTACACTGCAGAAGTTCACAAATCATGCTTGATCTTTTATGTCCATACTGGCAAAAAAAGGTAGAAACATATGATGGGAAATCGGTATAGGTTTTGTTTTGTAGTTGTTACAGCATGATCAATACAAATGTTTCCCAAAAATATAAAAGCGAGACAAAAAAGGCAACTTTATAAAAGTAACATTACAACGCCTAAAATTCTGATTATTGAACTTAAAGCTGCAGTAGGTCATTTTTATAAAAATATTTTTTGTCATATTTGCTGGAACTTTCACACCAACCGGACAGAAGAACAGGAGAAAGATCATCTGTGAAATCTCCTCCTAGTGCCCCTAATGGCATTTGTAAAATTCTACTGGGCCCGAATGAGAACAACCAATTGGAGCTTAAAAAGATATAACGACGCTTTGGGTTGGAGGTTTGTAGAGAGTTGATTGTTGAGTCTCATTCCCAGCATCCCAGATATTTGATGACCTGGGAATAAGACTCAACAATCAACTTTTTCATGTTTCTCGGCTCATTAGGATCACTAGGAGGAGCGAGAGGAACCTGATGTTTGCACAGATTATCTGTCTCATGTTCTACAGTCAGGATACAATGAAAGTTTCAGCAAATATGAAAAAAGTTATTTTTATAAAAGTTACTGCAGCTTTAAGACTCTCTCAAAACCCACTGCACCCTGCTCAAAATTACACTTAAGTAAATAGTTCCACCCTCGTAAAATTATATTCAAGTGACCATCTGTGTGGCTTTCTGCTGGGAAAAACTTTCCAGCTGCTTTCCACTGAGCGTTGTCTCAAGGTAATGGAAACTGTGTGTGTGTGTGTGTGTGTGTGTGTGTGTGTGTGACCTCAGACTGTGTAACAACTCAAAGTTAGACACAGATGTGTCACTGGCGTATTGTCCGCTGAGAGGAGGCTGGAAACACGTCTGTTATGTTTAATAAAAGGAAGTGATCAATGTCGTCAGCTACTACAGCAACATGTCTGCAGCATGGAGATCGTTTCCATGGTGATGTTCCTGGGCCTCGCAAAAAAACCTGGCAGTTGCAACGCCGCCGCTCTCCTTGCATGGGTGAACATCACTTCAAAGTTATTGCTCCTGAGAGTTGCAGGGAGAGCGATGTCCCATACTTCACTATCTGACAGGAAGGAAAGGGCCATTAGCAATCTAGATTAGCAAGACCAGAACCCGTCACACAACTCCTATAAACATGTCACACGGCCTCCCATGATAATGCCTCTTTAGCGGTGTTGGACAGTAACTCATTACTAATAAATGTCAGTAATAATATCACAGTTACCTCTCAACAACCTTACTTACTTTTGTTGGCACCTCCGACTGATTTGAAATGCAACAATCCAATCACACCCTTCGGCTTCATTTTTGTAATTGTGGAGCTTGGGAGATAGAAGATGCTCTCATTCAGCGGCTGGATATATTCCCATTATTTTGATTTTAACAAATAAAACTGGATTTTAATCGTCGTAAATCTGAATTTTGGGACAGTTACCAATTTTGTGTGTAAATTTAACTCTAAAGATTGTTGAAACTGATAACATCGAACATTTTAAGTAAAACAAACTCAGTTTTATCAATTAGCTTTAGTAATTTTAAGTGAAACTGACTTCATTTTGTGCTGTGAAAACAAAAGTAAAAAGTACTTAATAAGGAATGTTTCTGTAATATTACTTTTGAAAAGAGTAATGTGTAATATATTGGTTTTCTCTGTAGCTCCTGCAGCTAGAGGTATTTCCCCAAAGCTACTCTAATTGTTTGAACTACATAAATCACCACTTCCATGCCAGTTTGTTCGATGTTTGAGGTTGAATTAGTCCTTTTTCTCACTATCAGCAGCATTCAAAAGGCACAGAGAGTAATCTGTATTCACTATGTTAACACAATCATAGTTAAGAGATGGAGAAGATGCCTTTCCAGACTGATCAAGGTCATCAACAAATGGGAGCTGTTCTTTCAATAAGTCTTTATTTTTGTTCAGTCAACAACAGCTTGTTCATAAAAAAATCATTATATATATCTCTTGAGGCAATGTTTGTATAAAATTTCTTTGATGCTTGTTAGGAAATGTGTATCGTACAAAAAAAGAAATCAATCCCTTGTAAAACAATTTAAAATCTAGAAATAAAACTAAAATACTGACCCTCAATTATCAATATCAATCAACTCTGATCCATTTAAAAACAACTTACATGTATAGATTCTGGATTCTTAAGGCACAGAAACTGTGTTGCTTCTTTTGAAAAAAAATTAACAGCTAAAGCAGTAAATTGAAATTTATTAGAATTTATGCTGCGTAAAAATAAACCGTCACTATACGCACACGAATCAAAATTCAATGAATAACAATAATTTAAATCTCCATTATGAACCGATATAAAAGAAAAACTACCAACACCTGAAATAGAAAACTAAAGTGAACTTCAAAAGGTATTTATGCTTGTACCGTACAGCGTTTAGGGTTCTTTAAAGGACCAGTTTGAATTTCTGGGAGGTGCGCTTATTTACTTTCTCGCTGACAGTTATATGAGAAGATTGATACCACTCTCCCCTCTGTCCATAGGTAGCTGGAGATTAGCTTAGCTTAGCATAAAGACTGTAAACAGGGGGAAACCGCTAGCCTGGCTCTGTGTGAAGGTAACAGCAGCACTCCTGGCAGTTGGCAGAGAATACATTCAACCTATATTTATGTCCATCTCTGGGTTTTCTTACATCATGGAGAACAAGATTTGTAGGTCAGGGCATATCTGCAGCACTACAATAATTCATTATAATGCTGTTTCACACAATTTACCTGCGATTTGAATATCGCACTGGGTCATATTGCAATTTTGATAATATTTGATGAACTGTGCAGCCCTACAGGCTTGCCAGGATGTATCCAGGCGTAGATCCATCAAGCTCCAGCCGCCCTTTATCATATGTTCTGATTATTACAACTATGGTCATCTATTTTTGAGACATTTTCTTATATTTGTGACAAGGAAATCAGCCCTGACTCTGTAATAGCAGTCTTTGGTGCGGTCCCTAAAGAAGTATTTGGTTTGGTATTTCGGTTCGGCTGGAGGTGTGATGGCACATTTAAAGCTTAAGAAGCTAAAGTACTCAACCAGGGGATCCACTCGATGACTATGACTTTCCTGCTAGGGATACTGAAACATCGGACTGCGATTTAACCAGTAAATGACTGATTATCTCTGTAATATATTTAAGAACTTGTATTTTTTGTCGCTGTGTTTTACAAGGTTTTCGCTGCTCATTCATCTTTTCACGTCAACACACTGATGGCAGTGAGCTACACCGACCATCAGGTGCAATCTGCGGTCACTATACATGGGTTACGGTTTAATATAAGTAAGCAAAGCGATGTGTTTTAGTTGAAGGAAAACTGTCATTCATGGGCTAAGCTAACCGACCTCTTACTCCAGCTACATATTTTCCATTACAGACATGAGAGCGGTATAAATCTTCACATCTGAGTCTCTGCAAGACAGTGTATTTTCCCCAAAATGTCAAACTTACTTCCACTGAACATCAACGTGATGCAGTCTGGAAGAACCAGTTACAGTATTCAGTTCATACATCAAAACATCACAACAAATGCATAATCTGCTGCACATTCATTAATGCCATCCAGTGTGGTTTTTACGAAAACGGGTTTGATCATAACATTACTGAACACCATCATCGGACACAAAATATTCAGATACATTCTGTACATTGTATTCCCTGCTCTTGATCAAGTTCTAATGCAGCTTTTTCCCATATGGAATGCAGCTAAAGGGGGAAAATCATCCAGTGTCACTCCAACACATAAAAGTGAAATATTACATTGCAGCATTGGTCATTCCTTTTCCCTGCGAGTGATAAAGTCTGTACAACATACCGAAAAAAAGAAGCATCTAATCACTGTTTCATTACCTCTTAAAAAGCACACTGAATCCAGGGTTGTAGTGACCTCATGTACCCAAAAATCATATATCCATTTCTGCACAGTAGTACCCTCTTCCGACAATAACCCCCTAACATATTCTTCTCCAGGCTTAAATACAAAGCAACAGCTAAAGCTTGAGAACAAAGGACTGCTCGGAATTATTAGTGACTGGCATCAGAAAGATATTTGAACATTTGGCACATGTCCCACGAAGATCCGCATCCACGGCGCCACAAATGAAACTGTGCAGGCAAAGCAAAAAAGTGGGGGAAACTTAAGGGCCTTATTGAGGTGTGTGCTCTATGACGGGAACATTGACTTCCGTGTTTTCGGAGGTGGGGGCGGAGGCTTGCTCTCAATTTTCATTGGCAGCGGCGGAGTGAACTGTGGGGAGAGAAGAGAGAAGAGAGTTCACGTTAGGACTTTAAAATAAAAATAAAAAACAGAATATTTTAACGTTTACATGTCATTAAATATGCATTAGCGAGGGTGTGCTATTTTCTCCGAGCAGATGTACCTCTGAAGGGAACCCGGGGTTGTCAATCTCGTGCGGGTGTTTCTTCGGAGGCATGGGTGGGGGGGTCCCTGGGGTATCAATGGTATTGACATCATTGTCACTGAGAAGCGATGAATAACCTAGCACAGGAGAGAGGAAATAAAAGCGTTTCAGAACACATGCATCCGTTAGTGTGTGTGTGTGACCTGATTAGGGCTACAGACCAGAATGTGCTTACAAAAGGTTAGTAGGCAGGATATTCCCCCTCACCGTGTGTGTGTGTGTGTGTGTGTGTTACCTGTGTGTGTGTGTGTGTGTGTGTTACCTGTGTGTGTGTGTAAGGCATATTTTTAAGAGACAGTAAAATGATGACATGCACTGTGGTGTTTGTCAGAGCAGAGGTTTTGCTACATACTGGAGCTGCGTGGTGTGCGTGGTGTGTGTGGAGAGGCAGGTAGCGGGCTGAGAGGGTTAGACAGGCTGAGCTGGGATGAAACACCCTGGAACAGGGAGAGGGTGAGCCGTCGGTCCCCGAATTGTAAACTCTTGGGCCTCTGCTGCTTCTCTGGAGGAGTCTGGAATAAAAACAAAGACAGAGGCATCCATGTAAAACAGTCAAGCACAATATGGCCTCTCCCAGTTCACAGCTGAGTAACAGAAACTTAATATTAGGATGACATGGTTTTGTAAACAGCTTATATAATCACCTGAAGAAAGTGTGAAAATAGCAGAACGTGTATAAAAATAGCACCTGAACATAAGGCCTCACCTCGTCTGCGTCCGACTGCCTCTCCAGCAGCACCTGGGATTTGCTCACACTCCACTCCTTCCTGTTCTTTCTAGCAATCCTGTTGTCCTCCTCCGAGCGGGATAAAACCGAGGTCCTGCGATCGCTGGGGCGGGACAACAAGGAACTGCTTGTGAATAACCGGGGGCAGAGAAAGAGACGCAGACAGATGTACAGTCATAAAGACACACAGTGCTTTTGATCTGAGCAAAAAGTCAGTGTTTAAGGAAAGCATCGTGACGGCAAGACAAAACTTAGACAGAGGGAAAAGGTAGACAAAGGAAGCAGGGAGAGGATGCAGACTGACTCTTGGGAGGAAATGCAGGAGGGTCCATCTGAGGATGCGGAGCCGCTGGAGAGGCCGGAGGAGGCGTTGGAGAGGGTGGAGACAGTGGACATGCGACGCAGGGTGGAGGACAGGATGTAGGGCATCACCATCGAGCCCACACGAGTCTTCTTCCTCTCGGTGAGAGAGCAGGGCTGGGACACACAAATGGGATTAAGCATCACCGGGGGAATCTTGGCAGGGGAGGAGCACAATGACAGGCAAAACTCGGGGGGTTGCAACGGACCGGCTAAAGGAAGATTTATGGTCCTGCGCTAATATAATGTACACTGCTTTGAATGAAAGGCGTTTGATAGGAAGGCAAGAGGGCCAATAGCTTAAGTTGGCACCCTCTTACATTAAATTGAGTTTGAGGCTGGCAACGCACCAAGGTTATGACGCCATAATGCTTCTCCACTTTCTCCCGAAGGTCCTGGAAGCAAGTAACCAGACGGTTGTGCAAGGGCTTCAGCTGCTCCGTCGTCTTCTCCCCGTGGAGGCGGATCCCATCTGCCAGGAGAGGGATCTAGAGGGGACGAACACGCACTTTAGTGTTACAAAACATGCTCTGCTCGGAGGCCAGTGTCGGCGACAATGACGGCGGAGGGATCTACCTGCAGGGCGATGAGGTGTTTGAGGACCTCAATGCACTCGTGGTCCTCTGGGTGCTCTTGGATGTAGGTGTCGGTAAAGAAAGCCTACAGAGGATGAAAAAGAGGATGAAAATTGGGCAGCTTGCTTAAAATATAGCTGCAAGCAACAATGAACAGGTTTCCACAGCATGACAAAGAGGCCACGCGGCCCCCTTATGAATAAAACTTTGTAACTCAAAACAGGCTCGAGGCCAGCCGGAACTCATGTTAATGAAAAAGGGACTCACAAATTCATATTAATGTTTGCAGTTGTATGATTTATCTCTTATTAGTGTAGTTTGGCAATGTTTGATAGCAGTATATTCTTTTCCAAATCAATTACTTTAGAGCCAACTGTGCACACACGCAGAATCTGATTTAGCAAACAGCTAAAATCTTACAAATACAGTGCAGCCTGTAAGGAGTGGGACACACTTTTGGGGGGGCTCTGTACTCCTGCATAGTGGATTTGAAGACTGGTACTCTAGTCCTAAGTGCTGTCCAAATATGATGTATTACCAGCGGCACTGGCTCTGTAGATGTCAGCCTGTGGGTCGACCACTTTGGTCCAGACTGAAATATCTCAACAACGACTGGACAGACTGAGAGAAAATGTTCAGATGTTCATGGTCCCCAGAGGATGAATCCATTAAGGGGAAAAATGGCTTCTTCTACAGGAATAAAACATGTGTTCCTCAGCATTGTAGAAAGATACTTATTGAGGCACTATCAGTCTTGGATTACAGTGATACTCTGAAGCCATTGGCTGCTGTCTCTGACTCTGCACTAAGATTTATTGCTGGTGATAATACTGAGGATTGGATGACCCTCTCTCCCTGTAAGCCATGACAGACACTGTGTTTTATTATTGATTTATAAGGCCCTTACTATTTTTTTAACCCCTTACATAACAGTGCTGTCTTTAAATGTGAACCCTTATTGAACACGATCAACAGATTGGTTTACGTTGCAGCTGCCAGCTGTTTATATTCGGCTATATTGTAAATGAGGTTTCTACCTGAATGTTTTTCTGAGTTAAAGCTCCAGTGTGGAACATTTAGAAGGATCTGTTGTCAGAAATGGAATATAATATTCATACTTGTGTTTTCATTAGTTGTATAATCACCTGAATATAAGAATCATTGTGTTTTAGTTAGGAGTCCACCATATATTTACATTAGCCCAGAACGGACAAACCCCACACTGGCTCTAGATAGGGACTTCAGCCTTTTTCACGAGTTTTTGACCACCGTAGTTTGTCCTACACGCTCTCATTCCCAGGTTGTCAAATACTGACGACATAGCTAGTTGAAATCTGCAACTTCACCCCCAGATGCCACTAAATCCCACACACTGGTCCTTTAAGGTTGAATGAGTCCTCTGACTTTTCTTTTAGCTCCACCAGCATCCATCAGCCTTTGCTCTGCTTTTTGTTTAGTACAAATTAGCTACGGTTAGCACGCTAATGCACTATCCAAGATGGTTGACAATGTAAACTGTATAGCTGACAAACATCTGCGTGCATATTAACCTTATTATTGTGCACATATTTGCATCCTGATGTTAGCATTTAGCTCAGCCTCACAGCTGCATTGTGGTTAGTGCTAATTAGCAAATGTGTGCATGCTAACACACTATGATGTCACTGTGAACAAATAAACCCCAGTCACTACTGCGAAGACTGGCTCCAAATAACATTGCCAGCACAACATTTTTGTACAGTGGGAGACGGGTTGTCCATCTTCATACACGGCCTATGTTGTGAACATATTGATTGCTGTAGATTCTTAGTCTTATTAGGATTTATTGATGAAATTCTCTATGATGGTTGGGATTATTTAATATCTCTGTATGTTTCCTGTGAAGTGGTATTTTGTATTTGTTTGTTCCAAGGTTATTTTAAGATCTCAAACCCCTCAAGAGGACCCGTTTAAATGCTGTTTGTTTATTCGTGTCTGAACTAAAAAGTCAAACCTTCTCATAGTTGGAGAAGCCGCCCATGACAGCAGGGTCAACAATGCCGCTGAGCATCATGGACAGTGGGTTGATGGACAGCGAGCGATCACAGGCCTGCTGCTGCACGAGGTTACTCAGCTTTTCATTGGCCATCTCCATTGTCTCCACAGCGTTCTCCAAAGGACTGATCTCCTCCTGCACATCAGGAGAATAAAACAGTGAATGTGACGAATTTTTAAAGAGAAAGAAGAAACAGCACAGTTCTAGCATCAAGGTTGTTTCTTACCACAGAGACCGATTTTACTTCAAACCATTTCAGAATCCCTGGGAAGCGATAGGCGGTAATGTAAGTTGTTCTCTCGATCCACATGGTCTGTCGGGCAGAATAAATATCAATAAAATATTAAAGGGTGACATTTTAATGTTGTTATTAATCTTCAGAGTGAGGTATGCGCAAAGGCAGGGTTGTTTATGCATTTTTGAGGAATTTATGGGTGTGTGCTCACACGTATGAGCTTAGTGCTTTAGAGTAAATTTAAAAAGTGCTCACTGCAAATTCATTGTCTGGGTCCTTTTCACCTTTCCTGAAGGGCCTGGAATACTGGAACTGGTCCACTTCATTGGTTCTGTAATAGCTGCAAGAGAACAGGGAAGGACAGCGGTGAGTTAGTGGTCTGACCAGAGAACTATAAATCCCAGGGTATTCACGAGAAAATAAATCAGCCTTTAAGTGTTCTGTTACGCACTTTAATATCTGCTCTGGAACCCCCTTGTCTTTAAACTGGGGCGGCACGGTGAGAACAGGCTTGACAGTAAAGCACTGGATGTCTGTGAGGTTCAGCTAAGGATAAGACCAGAAATAGAGCGGAGGAGCAGACAATGCAAACTTGTATTGAATGTGATTTTCTTTTAAATCTATAATTATCAAGACTGAGAGCCCAGAGCCATGCTAGCAGCTCTGTGAGGCTGCACTTAGACTTTGCTCGGAGCTAAACACTAACATGCTCACAATGTCAGTGCCAATACACTGTTCAGCACGTATATTTACCATGTTCACCATTTTGCAGCTGATTTAGCATGCTGACATTTGCTAATTAGCAATAAAGACAAAATACAGCTGAGGATGACGGAGTGTCATTAGTAAACCAATCAGTATCAGAGAAATTTTAAGATCCCCTACAGACATGTATTGTGAAATTTCCACATTGAAATCCTTAAAGTAATCTGCTCTTCATTAATCTATGAATATGCAAGTTTGGTTAATTTCTAAAGTTTTCCTGCTGGACACAAGATGTCTCCTACTTTTTCCTACAACCTGCGGCCCTTTGCTGAGTGTCATCATCTCTCTCTCGCTCTCTCTCCACTTTCTAGTCTATCTTAAAGCTGTCACTAACCAAATAAAGGCATGAAAAGTCCCCCACCCCCCAAAAGAAAGAAGGATAGACTTCTTAAGAGCACAGGGAAACTTCCCACATTCAGCAGATGGACATGTGAAAACCATCCTTCTATATGTCAAAACTCTGCCACATACCATCATTCTGCCACAGTGAAGATCAAACATCACACTGTAGGAACTAGAAGAAAAACAGATTTTTGGCTGGAGGGTAACTTTAAATATTGACGTGATGATGTCTGAGGGGGATAATTCATCCAATAGCTGTTGAGATATTTCACCCACTAATTAAACCTCATTAACATCCCAGAGCCATGCTGCTCATACAGCAAAAAAAAAATAAAAATAAAAAATAAAAAATTATATAAGGATACGCTGTCCAGATGAGTTGCTGATGTTGTCTCCAGGGGGCGCTGTGCTGGTCATCCGCGTTGCATTGGGGAACTGAGAGAGCAGTTTTAAGCTGAAGTCTTCCAGCCACTCGTACTCCTTCCCTCGGTATATGAACATCTTGTTCTGTAGCAAAACATTTCAGCGAGCAACCCAAACAAATTAATAAAAAGCTAGAAATATGATCAAACTCATTCTCCATAATATATGAAAGGTGTGCAACGCTGTGACAGGACTGTTCACTCTGACATTCTCTTGTGTCATCAAAAAGCCAATAACCTTTATCGGCATTATTGCACATAGCCCCGGGAAATGTCTCCAAAAAGCCGTCTCATTGCATAAGCACGATGGTTTCTCCACGTCTGTATTTAATGAAACAGGTAATCATTTCCTCACCCGGAGGAAAGAAGGGAATCCAAGGCCATAATATCCGACAGCGAAGTACTCTGGCTGTGGCCGCATCGCATGCATGATATTTTCATAGAAGTTGGCTTGTTTTTTCTGTGACAGAGGACAAAGAAGATGGTAAGACTGCAGCATTTAGTATGTTGTATAATTAGTGGGTACAAAATGAAATCATTCCAAATAAATTGCAATAACATCTGCAAAAAAGGAATGCGTGTTGCTCTTGTTTTCTTTTATGTAATTATGAGAAGATTACTGGAGCACAATCATACTAAGCCACAGTTGCTGAGAGACTATAAATAGATTCAGTTTGCTGTTAAACTCTACAGCATGACAAAACACTCTCTGGTAAACAGGTTAACACACAATTACCTCTTACCAATCTTCTCAAGTTGTTTTTAAAACTAATCTCACGCAGCGTCGTACGAGCTGGAATACTGTTGTCCACATGAATCTCAAACGTCTTAATGAGGCAGTAACACTACACCGTCTACATTCAAGTTGTTTTCATATCGCTTTATAAATCTTTAGTTTGAATTACTTGCACTCATACCAGCAGCTCGCTCAGCTCCATGAAGTCAAACATGTGGCTCTCGTGCATCTTGGCCAGCTGCTTGCCCAGCTCGATAGCCTTCTCCCACATCTGAGGAGACACGTGCATCGCTCAGTTAAAAGGGAACATAAAACAAGAACATTAAAAAAAAAGAAAACAGAGGCATGAGCTAGACTCGCCATCTGGCTCCCCGAGGCGAAACCCCCCACCTCAGAACAGTGGATGTGTACAGTAGCAGCCAGTGACACAACAAAGAACCCTGCGGCTGCTGGGCGAGCTGAAGTAACTTCCCCCACAGGTTTCACAACACTAACTTTTGACACCGGCTCATGTGCACAGCGGTTAATACTCACCTTGCCCTTGTCCAAATAGCATATGATCTCCTGGAAGAGCCTCTCTTTAAGCTCCTGCTGGGTCCAGACGTGCTCCCCGTCTCTGGGTATCAGATGAGGTGCGCAGGTTTTGTCAGACCACTGGGTGAAGCAAATTAACATTCAGAAGCATGTTGATATCAGCAAAGATTAAACAGCATAATAAACATCAAATTCTCATCTTGTTTAGACTGAAAAGAAAAAAAGACTTTGATGTGTCAGAAACCTCAAGTAATTCAGCATGTAGCAGCAGAGTGTAGGCCGCCTCTGTGTAGTTCTCACAATCCAGGTGCAAATCTCGCAGCTTGTACAAGTACCTGGTTACAAGAGTACATCAGTTATATACCGTTAGGCATTTGGTCCAAAAAACCAGACGCTCCGTGTGTCTGTCTGACTCACCGGATGTAAATATCCTCCCTCTTCTTTTCTTTGTAGAAATTCTGCAAGAGAAAAACCCTAAATGCACACTCTTGAAAACATTTTCTCTCATGCAATTTGCAGAACAGTACACATGATTGCTTTCTGTACATTCGCACACAGCGTAACCCCCCTTTGGCAAATATACAGTAGGCGTACCAGCACGTTGACGGTGCAGCTCATGCGGTGCTCGGGGCTCTCGTCGTGTGTGATGGTGCGGTACGCCAGGAGATTCTCCAGCAGGCTGCTCAGCAGCAGAGCCAGCTCCTCTCCTGACTGTGACAGGTATCTGTGGCGTCTGCAGTGCTCCAGTAACCTGCACACACAAACAGATTCACAGAGTACTCTTACACACCGCTTTAAAACCTGTGTTTGCAATTGTTTGGGATTGTATATTCTGTCTCCGAGGGGTTTCTATTGATTAGAGGTTGCTCACAATTCTAACAGACCTTCTTGTCCTTCTGTCTCCTGGAGGATTTTTAAAAAACACAATCATAAAGGCCTTTGTTGAAGCTGGCAGTAATCCTATGTGAATTCTCTATCACACAGAATTGAAGGATTTTTGATTGGAGCGTTGTACTACTTAAACAACTTTCAGAATAAAAGAAATATTCTCTGTTTGATCCTCCTCTGCCTTACGTTTTCTCCAGCAGGACTTTGTACTGCTGATCCCCTCGGCCTCCTTCTACCTCTTGATCCAACTTTGTTATCAGTTCATTCTCAAACTGCAAAGATAAGAAGAAAAAAAAACATGCCATTATGCACATCATAAATGTCATATTTAGCCAGGAGCAGCTCCAGCCGAATTCCACCCGAAAGACACCAAAGAGCTAAACTTCTGAGGTAGCTACCGTTTCAAACGTGCGTCCAGGGTTGAAGTTGTGCTCACACTGCATCATATCAAAGAAGATAGGGATGGTAGCTTTCCTGAGTTCGGGCTCGGGCACCAGAGTGACCTCCAGAATGGGCCCGACCATGGCTGGGATGAACTTCATTTTGTGGGGGCCTGAGGGACAACAAAACATTATCACACAGAAATATCATAGTATGATTTGAGAAGGCAATAAGCTGCACTTTCATTCCTCGACAAACAGAGGACAAATCTAATAATGTGGTAAACAAAACAACAACACACTGTGAAACTGGACAATATAAAATATTGTCTTGTTATTCCCCTTGCATTACTGGCAGGCACTGAATAAACAATTCCACAAACTCTATGATAATAGAAGCAAAATACTTACCGAGATTGTACCACATATCTCTGATCTTAAATCCAATATTCTTCCTCATGTCCCCGTATCTGTAGTCAATTTAAATCAAAGAGCAGTTAAATTAAGTTCTCTCTATTTTAATAATCTTTTTGATTAATTGTAAATGATCTCACTTGTTCAGTATCTTGTTTCGTTTCTCTTGAGAGAAGGACTCCAGCTGCAGTGTCGTGTGGGTGAGGAACGCCACAGTCAAATGAAAGTAGTTATTCCACAGCTGCAAGGGCGAAGCAGAGGTTTTCAAATATTAATACCATAATTACCTTCTCATAACACCAGCTTTTGACTTTGTGTTTAATAAAAAATGTGACCTCCAGACACACCTGCAGTTCAAAATGTGCCTGGTCCAGGAAGTACATGTTGAGGACGTCCGAGTACTGGTTTATGGCCCTCAGGAAGACCTGCATCTGCACCAGGTTCATGATCATCCAGTCGGCGGGGAAGACGTTTCCCATGAGGTCCTTGAACATGATGAATGTCTCCATGAGGAAGTCCTGAGGGCAGCACGAGAATAAAATCTTTACTGCGAGTGTATGCACACTGCCGCTTTAAGGACAATAACAGTAATATCCAATAGACCCACACTAAGCAAATCCAGCACTGCGACATGTCACACACACACACACACACACACACATATAATGCTCCCGTGGCTTAATGGAGGCCCACTGACATCCTCATCATGTCAGTCCAATCCATCGCATTAAATGTCTATAATCAATATTCTCTTAAGGAGCAGTAAGTGGCCGGGCTGGTTTAATGCCTGTTATTGATGAGATGTTTCAGGACAAGTTGTAGCCAACAGGGGAGGAACCGGGACACTTACAATGATATCCTGTCTGGTCTTGAAGGTGCTGATGTAGTGGGCGTAATGCATGTCATCCATTTGCTTCAGGATGGCCGTCATGCAGGCAAGATAGTGGCCCTGCAGAGGAGTCAACTATTACTCACATGATTTCACTGAGAGGCATTTCTATCAAAAAAAAACTGCACTTACATTGTTTGTTATTGTTATGACTCTTAAAAGACTGGTGTGCTACCATATGAATGTATGGCAACACTTTATGTTATGTGTTTGATGATTTATTAGCATGCATATTAGTAGCATATTAACTCTTTATTAGTCATTTTAAAGCACTTGTTGTGCCTTATTCTGCATTAAATAAGACTTTGATGATCTTAGGTGCTTTGCTCAGTATAGGCCTTACATTTATTCCTTATATAACACTTATTAAATGTCTGTTATTCAAGTGTCCTAATAACTCTAAATGAAGTATTTTTACCCAGAATATTTTCCTCATTCTTCAGTGTTCATAATTAATATACTTTTCTCAGTGTGGGCCAAAGTCTTGGAAACTTATACGAATTATTAAACTTGTTTTCAACTTATATTGAAACCTTATGCAATTTTAAAATGATCAAAGTTTAAAGTTTAAGGTCTTGCTAACAGGGTTCCTGCTCTTTTTAAGAAATCATTTTCAGCCCACAATGCTGTTCTCGCCACAGACGAATTGACTTCAGTTTACAGACTCAAATCAAGTAGAGTTTACTTTATTTTACAAAAAAGTAATCTTCTAGAAAGTTAAAGTGTTTGTTGCAAGTAAAGTTAACATCACTGTGTGTGTATTTATCAACCACAGCAACAAATGTGATCATTTAAAGGCTGTATGCATGTAGATAAGACCGTCTGCTGAACTTCCACTGAGCTTCCCTTAGGTTTATGTGGGAGATCTGAGTGAGGGGCTAATATACAATTAAAAACTTTTAAGACAACAACATTTCCAGGATATTTGGTCATTCTAATGAATTTCCAGGATGCGTGGGAACAGCTCAATGTAGAATGAGGGACATATTCTGAGCTGAAGACTTCATTTAGGGTTATTTTGACACTATTAATACTTACATAGGAACAGAATAGATTATATTCATTAGTATTCTGGTGGTACTAACACCATATAAGGCCCATACTGAGCAAAGCGTATTAAGACCATAATTCATGTACAGCAACTTCCTTACTTACTATCAATAAGTAGTAATTAGGAGGTTAGTAAGGGAAAACTGCAGAATAATGCATAAATAACTGCTTTATAATGACTAACAAAGAGCCAATATGCTACTAATATGCATGTTAATAGGTTACTAGTTAATCGTGAATATGTGCACCTTCATATAAAGTGTTAATGTCAGTATTATTAATAGTAAAATGAATGCTGAGGGTGCAGTCGTCAAGGAGATACTTCCTCTGTGACACTGCAGTGTGTCTTACAATGAGAGGGGAGGATCTGTCCATGCTGATGACAGTGCGATTAACCCTGCGAAGAAGCCGCTCCATTATCAGCTGAACGTGGCCTCTGGTTGGACCCTGCACAGACAGAACAGCCGCAGGTACAATTACCGGCTGAAACGCAGCGACATAGGCAATCTGCAGAAGGTCGGCTCACACAAATTACAACAAAAAAAGGGAAAGAACAACACAATTCTCTCACATTCTTGGAGATTGTTTTGGTTTTATTTGTTCAGGTTTGGAGGTACATGTCTTCCACTATAATGTAATGGAGGTCTGTAATGGAGGGGTCTTCCTAGAAATACTGTTCCAGTTATTATTGTTAATCATCAAAAATGGATCAGGAAGTCAGTCCTGGTCCAGTATCCAACGTATACAGTGTGATCCACCAGAGCACACACACTGAGAATGGACTTCTTGTGTCCAGCAGGAAAACTTGAACTAAATTTGCATATTCACCGATTTTTTTGTAAGGCTTTTAATGTGGAAAATGTTGCTTTTTTTGGCAGACAAAACATACACATTGTTATTCTAAGCAGTCTTTTTGTATATATGTCTTAATACATGCCTGGAGGGGAACTTTAAAGGTGTCACCTCAGACTTTAAGAGACTGTGATTGACATTTGTCACCATTTTCTGATGTCAAAAATGGCTCTCAGTGAGGTTTCTGGATTATCCAGAGATGCTGACATTTTTCAGTGCTGTGAGCGTCACAAACAAAATTCCATTCGCCTCCATTGTGTCGGCGTGGAGACAAATGTCAGAAATAAAA